GGTGTCGGTCAGCTGGGGGCCACGAGGCCGCACCCGCTGTGGGACCAACCAAGTCCATGCGCCTCCGGGTGCTGGAGACGATGAGAAAGCAGGGTTTTTATAGCGAGAAGAGTAAAGGAACTGGGATGCTGAGCTTCAGGAAGGGAAGAATGAAGAGTGGGTGAGGCAGTTCATGGAGAGAGTTGTTCTCGGGTCTTGGGAAAGCGATTTACACCTGACTCATCCATCGAGCCGTAGATGTGTTATTTCAGACGGCGCCTAAATAGCCGCAGCCCAGCTGCTCTGGGTGGCTTCTCTGTACCTCCTCTGTGAGCGGGAGACGGCATCGCACCTGATGATTTGTTTTTTAATCCTCACCTGAGGATATGTTTTTATTGATTTTTAGAGAGAGGAGGGCGGGGGAGAGAAACGTCGATTGGCTGCCTCTCCTATGCGCCCTGACCAGCGATGGAACCCACCACCTTTTGGTGTTTGGGATGACGCTCTAACCAACTGAGCCACCCATCCAGGCCAAACCTGATGATTTTTTAACGATAGCTCTCTCTTATGTAAGGATTTTTAAAACATTAACATTAACTTAAAGGTTCAAGTTGATCATTTTTCACAGCTATTTATTAGTATTTTGCTATCAAAAGCCATCTCTTCATAGATTTAACCTGGTTTATAACTCCTATGTCGATATTTAATTACCTTTGAAAATGAAAAAGTAGTTAAAATTTTGGTAGATTTAAAAACTGTTAATTATATTCAACAAAAGGACAATTAGTAGAGTTTTCCTGGTTTTATTTCACAGGTGGATATCCAGGTAAGATCAATATTTCTGTGTAAGATTGAGTTCCTGTTTTTAGACTCACCTGTTTGGGTAGGCTGTTCATTTGCTGTAATATTTTATCATGTGCATGAATCATTAGCCTAACTTCTGAAATAAGTTAATTACTTAAAAATTTGTGCTTATTTGTAGAGATACTTATATATGTGTTGAGCTATATTTCTAACTACAAGGTTAATATATATGTTTTCTAAAATTGAGCGACTACTACAATCCTGCTTAATAACATTAAGTTGAATCTTGCTATTGATAATTATTAAATAGTTTTAACTTTAGATTGAACTAAACTACACCAGAAGATAAATTATAACTTTAAAAACATTTCTGAGAATTGGACGATCATTTTTAAAAAAATCCTAAACTCACCTACATTTCCTCTATGACAATAGCCAGTAGACGCTCAATAAATGACAGTTAAGTGTGATTATGTTGAAAACATGAGAAATAGTATTAGACTGACTAGTAACAGAAAACTGTCATGCTAGAAGTTTGCTCGACTAGTTAACTTTAAGATCATTTCAGATGTAGGTTTTCTTGATCTGTTTTTTTCACTCTTATCATTAAATCTCAACCTTCACTTTGTTTTGAGGGATCCAAGTGAAGGCGAAGCCAGTGGCAGAACAGACACCTCAAGGTGAGGAGCCACTATTAGTACTTCGCTGCCAGGTCCCTGTGTATGGAAACGTGCTCTTGAAATATTGACAGCACTTAATAGACATGAGTAGAATTAGTAACTAGCTAGTATGTATATTTAAAAATTTTGTAATGGGATAGGTTTTCCTACTTGTTGCCTAGCATTTAATTAACTGTAAGTTTGTGTTTTCTAAACATTATTTTAAATTGTATGCTTTGTAGAGAAATATCCTTTATGTTCTATGATAGATATATTGGCAAGAGAATGACTAGATTAAAATGTACTGATACTTTTCTCACTAAAATAATGTAACTAAAATTAGTCTTAAATAATACAGTGATGATCAAGTCTGTATATAGGAAGATTTGGTATTAGTAATATATTTTAGGTTAGTGTTCAGTGGTGGACATTTGCAAGTGGTCACCTGCCATAATTTATGGTTTTTTTGACATTTAAAACTGGTCATGGATTCAATCTGGCGACCAGTCTCAAACTTGAGCACAGTCGGAAACTGATCAAACAGATGACTGGGCCCCACCCCCAGGGTTTGTGATGGGCCGCCTGGAGGGTCTGGGGACCACATTAATGACATGTTACTACTTGTGTTCACATTTATAATTGGGAAATTCAAGGAACAAAGACATTACATTATTTTGAGTGGATGCATGTCCTGTCTTTGTTCAGGAATTATTTTTTGACCAGCTAAACAGAGCCTCAATTTGATTTCTACTTTTTAAAATCACTTGGAATATAAAACATCATTAGCTTTGGAAAGACTTGGTTAAGCATTCCCATGTAGTTCTTTTTACAAAGTGTGCTGTATTTACGTATAGTCATAATAGTTGAAATGTTTCTTTGTTGAGTTAGGTACCTGAGTCACACCATGGAAGGGAGCCAAACGCAGGCAGGAAAAATATTTTTAACTCTCTTCTGCCTGTTAAATAAACAAGAAGGACTTGTGTGGTTAGCCCCTCCCTCACTTAGTCACCACTTCTGAGCCCCCTTCTTGGGTGTCCTCCTCTCTTTTTACTGAATTTCTCTCTGAGACATTTAATACTGGAGAGCGTCACCGTGGCTGCTAATATTGCAGTTAATTTGCATGTTCTTTTTACTTTTGAGTAAATATACTGAATCCCTCCTATCTATAAGACATTTGCTAGCCATTTGATCTATACAACCCCCAGGAGAAAAGTACCCCATTTTACAGAAGAAACAGTGGGGTGCATAGGAGGGACCAAACCCTCTAAAGAGGTTCTGTGGTTGCAGAGATGTGTGGGGCGTGAGGGTGAGTAGCTCGGGCTCTTGAGCCCAGGCCATTCGGGTTGAGCGGTGGTCTACCCCTCACCGAGCTGTGTGACTTCAGGAGAGTGACTTGACCTCTGTGCCCCCAGGGTTGTTGTGAGCGGTGAATGAGGGATTAGTACACGTTAGGCACTTAGAACAGTTCCTGGCACCTGGTAAGTGCTCAGTAAATGTTAGATGTTACTACTATCAGCATTTCCAGGAACGTTCTACAGTTAACGTGAGATACACGTAGGAAACGTCTTATGTGCGCCCATTGTCTTAAGCTCACCAGGTTTCCTTGGTGGGATGCAAGGAAAGTTAGACTCGGGATAAGATATCCTTTTAAGTCATTAGCTGTAGGACCTTAAAAAGTGCTTTGACCCCTGACCTGAACTATACATGTTATCCTGGTAAATGACTCTGGTTGGATCTGCACATTCCAAGAGCCCTGTGACTTAGAGTCAGTGAGCAAAAAGAGAATGCTGGAGAACACATTGGAATGCATAGTCTCGGATACATAGTTAATAGTCTTTGGAAACTTATTTCCTCTACTTATTTCTTTCCTTATTTTTTTCAAGCTTGCATAGTTTGCAGAGCTTTGGGGCCTCAGATACCTAGGAATGAGGGAGAAGCCATAAACATACACATATCCATTAAAACTTATATATAAATGTATACATGTATACATTTTAGGATAATATTGATATAAAATGTTTAAAATGTGTATATAGTAGTTTATAAACTCCTTTCAAAGTATATCATTTCTTTAAATCACATGTAGGTGAAATGGGTTAACAAATTAAAATTATAACATCTATATTTGAGTAATTGCTCATTAGATTTAATTACAGGGTCTTCTAAATTATAAAATATTAATTTTACCTCTATGATTATGTGATATAGGTTTTCTGGTTCTGTATTATTTGTGGGAGATCTACAGTATGAAAAATTCAGTGAGGTTGATGCATTTAAGAAATACATGTTAATCATCTGCTCTGGCAGAGGGAACAGCCCTTGCGAAACCCTTAAGGCCAGACCAGACCCTGTAGGTTCGAAGAATAGTTTGGAGGCCAGTGTGTCTATGGGAGTGAGCAAGGAAGTATAAATAATCCCTCTGTAGCTGTGACTACTATCCTGTCTGTCCCCCATCCTTCTCCTACCCAATGAAAGATAGAAAAGGAGACTTTTTCTTTATATTTCAAAATTGTGTATTTATAGGCAGAATGCTAGTGGGCTCTTTTGGTACAAATTACAGAAAATGGAGAATCTGCTTTTTGTAAACTTAAACAGAAAAATACGGAAGGACCTGAAAAGGTATTAAGTTCTTCACTTCTGACTGCAAACTTGTTTCCCACAAATACAGTTAAGGAAATATGCTATTTTAGGTAAAAGATATTTATAAAAGTCAAAACAGGGTTTTGTTTTGGTAGCAGCAAGATGACATTGCACCCTTGTATCTGCCTGCAGGTAGTCTGCAAATTAGGTCATTTTATTAAGCTAAGCACTGAATGATGACCCCTGACAGTATGTTGTGTCTCTGTGCTGAATGGAACTTTCTCTGCTTTCTTTCCCTGTGCCCTGTTCTTCCAGGAGTACGTCAGGGGACCCCAAAGAAAGAGACAAGGAGGAGGGTAAAGACCCCAAGCCCCGTTCTTTGCGGTTCACCTGGAGCATGAAGACCACTAGTTCCATGGACCCCAACGACATGATGCGAGAAATCCGGAAAGTGTTAGATGCAAACAACTGCGACTACGAACAGAAAGAGAGGTTCTTGCTGTTCTGCGTCCACGGCGACGCCAGACAGGATAGCCTCGTGCAGTGGGAGATGGAAGTCTGCAAGTTGCCACGGCTGTCGCTGAACGGGGTCCGCTTCAAGAGGATATCTGGAACGTCTATTGCCTTTAAGAACATTGCGTCTAAAATAGCCAACGAGCTCAAACTGTAAAGAAACTCCCATTGGCAGGATCAGGGAAGAGCCATCCAAACGAGGTACAGTTCTTGAATGTACTGGTAACGCCCAGTGTGATCGGCCTGTGATTCGCCCGTGTAGAATTTGCCTCTAACGCAATAAGGTTATACATAGTTATGATCTGTAAAATTAAAGTCAGTATGAACCATAACAAATATCTGTAGCTAAAAATAAAATAAAAAAGTAGGTTCACATGTACAGGTAAGTATATTGTGTATTTCTGTTCATTTTCTGTTCATAGAGTTGTATAATAAAACCGACGACTGCTTCAAAACTTGTATAGTTCTCTAGATTTCTGCCCATGATTGTACGCCTGATGCTCTGAGTTGAAAATACTCTTCCCTGTTATTTACATTCTGGTGGGTTTTTTTAAAAAATTCTTAACTTCCATCATGCAATTTTGAAAATTGTGTCCAGGATTCAAAGTGCACAGAAATAGTCTGCACAGTAGCATGGACTTTGAAAAACTTATTTTCACGTCATACTTAAATTTAAACCAGAAGCCGATGCCTAAATCGGCTTTGTTCTACACAGAATTATTCCTGCTTGTCTTTGCTCTTACCTTGTCACCGGGCAAGGTCTAGTTGAGAAGATATGAAATGTTTACAGTGTTGGCACTTAGAGTTTTTCAAATAAAATACATGAAAATAAATTAGAGCTTCGCCTTGAGCTAAATAACTAGGAAGTACTGGGGGAAGTGAAATCTTCACCAGGTTTCTTTTGAACTTCAAGTGTATTCTGGCCCTGCTCTAACGGTAGAATCAGTGCTTTATCTGGCTAGTGTAACGCAGTAGGTTTGCGGCCATCCCAATACCACCACGCACTGTGGGGATGTGGGAATATCAGGATTGTTCCATAGCACAAACTCACCTTTCCAGCGTTGGTCACCGATCGGTTAGGAAGTAACGCCACCTCAGGAATCAACTGGCATCGGGACTATTTGCCCCACTCTCCTGTCCCCCGCTCCCTCTCCCCCAACTCAATAATATCTGTAAGTATTTAGGAGACTTTTGAGCAAAACTGTTATACTATTTATAACAGCAGATTATTGATTTACAGTCATGTGCTTGTTCCGTTTGTTCCCATGTAACCTGTTTGTTTTGACTATTTTGCCAGATCTCTTGTATTTATTTCATAACGTCATGCCTATAACGTGCGGCTTTGTGACGGGAGGCGTTTGCCTAGTTTCCTTTCGTAATTAGCGATCCCTGCGATGTAAAACCACTAGTCAAGGTACATTTTAATACTTGTGATTTTATACTGGACTGGCCTTGGAGGTTTCCTGTGCAATGTTAGTTAACGTTGTCATTACCGTAACACCCACCTAGGGCCCCGTCTGCACACTCCTGAGACAGAAAGCGTGTTCAGATTTTTACGAGTCTAAAGAAAACTAAAGCTGTGATAAATACTGTGATTCCAGCCTGCATCCGAAGGCTCTCCGTGTAGGTGACTGCCGTTCCACATGGCTCCCGGACGAGGGTGACCTTTACATCCTGTACTGTACTGTGACGTAGCTCTCTTCTGTACCAGTTCTGTTCTGAATCAAAGTGTATTTTTTTTTTTTTTTTTGCCTTAGCCAAGGGCGGTGTTTGGAAAAAAACAGCAGCTGCGTCGCCCCCTTTTTAACGTAGCATTCATTCCAAAACAACTGATGCAAGTTCTTTTCACTTTCACTGGTGCACACTGAAATTTTACTTGAACAGTTCTCATAATAAAGCACTTGTCTTTCGCTCTTTATCAGAATGTGAATGACCTGTTTTCTGGTACGGAGTGGGGAGTTGGTTTCGCGTGTTCTCAGTGGAGTCTGGTCCCTTGAGCTGCGTTTCAGTAGCAATGCATCTGTCAATCCTAGGTTCTGGTCCATGTGTGACGGTCCTGCCGCCAGACAGAGCTCCAGCCATAAGCACAGAAAGGCCACCATTTCTTCTGAACCTGTTGGCACATGGACGTTGTTGTTGGTTCCAGTCATTACCAGACAGAGCCACACGAGGGCAGAGAAAACCTCTATCCGGGAGGCACTACCACCCACTGCAGTCGGAGCCCTGTGGGCCTGTCTATAAAGCAGACACCTCATTGCCCCCCCAAAGTGCTTGCCCTGGTGGCCCACATTCCCTAGATTTAGTGAATAGCATGTCTTACTCTGTCTGCTCACAAATTTGGGGCTAACGTCCTTCACTGCTGCAGTTGGATTTTGCACTTTTTTAAAAATCTTTCCATCTGGCTACAAAGGCACTTAATTCCGTTCCATTGGATCCCTCACGTCCAAATGTAGCGCTTTCATAAATTTTCGAGAACTTGTTGGAATTCCGCATTTTTTTCCATATTGTGCAAATCTAGCAGGGCCAAAAACCACAGAGATAATTAAAATGATACTTGAAAATGATGTAGTCTCTTATAGCCATGCTCTTTTTATATCAGACGCTTATTTCCCTTAGAATACTGGGATGAACCGATGGCTTTTCATTGACTCAATTTGTTTCCATTATTTGTAGTCATGAGTGCTTTTAGGGTGATCAAAATGTCACAGTTTAGCCAAAGGAATCCTTTTACTGGCCCAGGTAACCTTTGTGTGTATACGTTTTTGGTGGACACCCTATATGTATACACATATATGTATTAGAATGGAATACTGTTGGATGGGTATAGTACCAATGCCAGTTTTTAGCCCTGGCCGGGTAGTTCAGTGGTTGGAGCATCATCCCAGTGCCCCAAGTTGTGGATTTGATCCCCGGTCAGGGCCCATACAAGAAGCAACCAGTGAATGCGTGAATGAGTGGAACAACAGACAGATGTTTCTCTCTCTCCCTTTCTCTCTCTAAAATCATTAAAAAAAAATTTTTTTTAAATACTCTTAACTTACAAGGTCATAATTCTGACCTTATTTCTCTATACATATATTCTTCTTTTCTCAATATTATTAAATGCACATAGCTCAGTAGTTTTCCAAATCTCCAGTGTCTTTTGGGTAAATAAGAGAGCATCCCATTATACTGTTAAAGAATTAAGTGCTAGATACCCCGCTTTAAAGCTTTATCCACAGGGGACTTGTGGTTCTGCTTCCGATGGGAAATGATTCCGAAGACTCTGGATCCGGTGGAAACACAGGTACGAATCTGCACACACAAGTACGAACCACACTCCCTGGTGGGCTGCAGGAGAGGTGGCCGCAGGGGCAGCTTGAAGGTGAACAGAATTCCAGGGGGGCCGCGCTGCTCACGGATGAGCAGCCAGCCGTGGCAGCTCGCATTCCTGGACAGGTCGCTGAGCTGGCTGGGTGGGCAGAGGAGTGGCCTTGCCTGGCACCGAGAAGTGACTGGGGGGAGGCAGGGGATGAGAAATTGCCAACTTTTAACAACAGCGCAGTGCAGGCTGGCAGGCAAGGCTGGAATGTGGGAGAGCCCAAAGTTTTAAAAACTCATGGAGCCCCGCGATTGTCCCTAAGTTCATAATCGTGCTGAGAAAGGGCAGAGCAGGAGCACCGGGAAGCTTCCTGGAGCATCGCCCCGCGGTTGATGGCAGGGCCCTGCTGGAGGGGAAGGCAAAGGGGAGCCCCGAGGCTGACTCTGCTCCAAGGCCCTCCCAGCCCCGAAGCGGAGACAGGAGATCAAAGGCTCCGGGGCCTTGCGGTAGCTCTGAGGCCTGGTTACCCAGAGGTGACCCCATCTGCTTGGAGCTGAGGCCCGGTCTCCCTGCTCTGCTCGCCCGGGTGGGCTCAGCGATCAGCCCCTCACAGCAGCACCAGATGGAAACAGCTGACTCCCCCTGGGAAGGAAAAAACAGAATTCTAGAAAATCCTTCATATCCCCGGGGACACAATTTCTGGAAGACCCCCGTAGCAAATTTTAGCAGCAACATAATTTGATTTAACTGTAATCCCGCCTTTCGGTTGCGTTGACCTCAAGCCTGTCCTCCGGTCAAGTGCTGAAACCCACCCCTTTAAGTGGAATCAAAAGCGCTGTGCCCGAAATTCCCAAGTTTGCATTCTATAGGGTCCGCCAAATGAGATTGCCACGGGCATATATTTTAAAAGAAAATCCCCTGCAAATGTTAAATTTCTCCTATTTTTTCACACATTTTGAACTGATAGTTACTCTAGCAGGCCCCAAGTTAAGAATAATCTTTAAAAAAATAAATTTTTAACGGGAGAAGGACGTGAGGTTGACCATTTCCCCCCTTTGGGGGGCTGCTCAGAAAAAAACGGGGACTCCTGCGGCTGGGATTGAAAACTGCCCCAAGTTGCAGGCTCTGGAAGACAAGCCTGTTGCCTTGCGCTGCTGTTTACGACCAGCCCCCATCACCCCCAGAGATGCTGCTTCTTGAGCCCCAACTTTTCAACAACTTTAATTCCTAACACTGCAGGTCCGTACAGAACCCCTTTTCTATTCTTTTTCTTACCAAATTCACACATTTATTACAGAAAATTAAACAGCCCTGCGTGTAATAGCCTTGGACGGGTGGGTATCGCCGCCGCCCGTTGGCACCCGGGGCGCG